GCGGGGGGCCGGGCCCGGGCCCGGGGACGCGGTGGAGAAGGAAGGGGACGGGCGGTGGGGTGAGGGGCAGGGGAGGGGACGGAGGGGAAGAGCCCGGAGCGCCGGGCCGGAGACGTTTGCACTCAGTGCTGGGGGGCAGGAAAAGCACCCGAGGCGTCTAATCCGGGGGAGACGGGATTAGATCAGGGGAGCTTGGCCTCCAGGAGCGGGGGCTGAAGGCCAGGTGGTAGCTGCCAGATTGTCTTCGATTTCAGAGTTTCTGCCTTAAGGGCGGTGATGAATGGCGGGGGCGCCCCAGCTCCGATCCTGGAAAGGGGCAGGGGTCTGCAGGTGGGGTGGAGGGTCCTGGTGGGTCCCGGGGCCCCTGGGATGGGGGAGGGAGGTGGTGGCAGCAGAAAGGAGCAGTTGGGGCGCTGTGTGCCAGCCTTGTGGCTTCTGGCTTCTGGCATCGTTCCAGGAGGAAGCGGAGTCCGGAAGGCTGGCCTGGGGCCTTCCCTCCCGGCTCTGGGCACCGGGCTGATCCCACCGGTTGGCAGAAGCTCCCGGCCTGTTTTGATCGTGTAATTAGCTGAGTCAGGACTCAGAGCGCCTCCGAGTCCTGGGCCTGCTTCTGGCCCTTGACTAGACCCTGTGGTCACCGTGACCCCTCCTTGCCCCAGCGCTCCTGTCCATTTGACTTCCAAGTCCTGTTGGCTGACCTCCTTGTTATTCTCCACCTGGCTGGGCCCTGGGCCAGCTCTTCTGGAACAATTACAGGAGCCTCCCTGTGGTCTAGCAGCTTCTCCTTCGGGAGGCAGGCCCTTCTATAATGCAGATCCGGTGGTGCCCCCCTATCCCCCAGGCCTTACACACTTCCACAAGGCCGGTGAAAAAAGGGATGCGGGCCGGCCCCAGGGTGCACGGCTCAGCCCTCAGCCCAGAGAACCCAGGCTGCATTTCTGCCCCACTCACCCCTTCAGCTGGGCTCTGCGCAGCCCGCTGAGCATCCTCACGGAGCGCTAATCTCACCTCCAGCCACTCCCTGTTCCTGGAACACCCAGTCTCGGGCAGCCTCCCAGCCTTGGCACAAGTGACTCTCCTAGATCATGGTCCTGTCCTCCCCGTCCCACTTTGCCCTGCCAACCCCAACTGTGCTCTTCAAGTCTCCGCTTCAGAGATGGTTCTAGATTCGGTGCTGCCTTGTGCTCCCAGGGCACCCTGCCTCCCCCGCCTCAGTGAACGGGGCCACTGCCCACTGTCGGGCCCTCTTGACCTGTCCTTCTGCCTTCAATCTTACCCCTTCCTTCATCTTCTCACCTGCCACCAAAGTGGCCTTGCTGAAACACAGCTGTGACCCATCACTCTGCTCAGATGCCCTTGAGCTCTATCAAAAATCCGCCCCACCCCTCCGGGCCCAATCCAGAGCCCCTCGGCCAGGGTGCCTTCTCTCCAGCCACGGAGAGTCCAGGCTTGATGATCACACTTAACGCTTGAGACGTCCCCTGCTAATTCACCAAGACAGCCCCCTTCCACCCTGTGCGTTCCCTGAGGCCAGGGGGTCAGTCTGCCACCTGGCCTTCCGTGCCACCTCACTGGGAGGCCACGCGGCCCCAGCGGCAGAGAAATGAGAGAAGTCTGTCCCCAGACAGCAGGGCCCAGCAGTCAGGGACATGGCCTCTGCTCTGGCAAGGAAGGAGGACCTTGGCAGGCCGTCTGAGCCGGGTTTCCTGACCTCATCCCAGTGACAGTTGTAGTTGTAATTCCAAACGAGAATACGCAGAAGTTATGAGCAAGGGCCAGGCTTTTTTTTTTTTTTTTTTTACTTATTTAAAAAGGCCTTGGTGGCAGGAATATAGTGTAAAAATCATTGGAAAAACTAAAAGGCATCGATACATATCCGAATATACACTTTGTACATAAATTACATTTCCTTTAGTCTTTCTGAGTGAGGTCCTGATTCAGCACTGAGGTCTAGTAATTCAGAGGTCCCGGGAGCTGCACGTTCAGGCCGGCATAGTCCACCATGTACATTGGCCATTGCTAGAGAGAGGGGGACAAACGGTCTGGGTTAGGACTCCAGGTGACATGGAAAGACCGCCAGACCACTTAGCAATGCTTTCTGAAGGGCATTCTCAGATGCGATTCATTTTGAGGCACTGAAGGTCCAGAGAGGGGAACATGACCTGTCCAAGGTCACGCAGTTCACTGATGGCCATGGAGCCTGGGCTCAGGCCTTCTGACCTGTTCCCACCTATGTCCCAGGGGCTATTCATGTGGACCAGACAAAATTGAGGAGTGGCTCAGAACAGGTAGTCATCCCCACACACTCAGCCCCCTCCGGGCCTTATGCCCCAGAAAGTCTGTCCCCCTCCCTCCAGGCCGCCTCTGCCTGGCCCACAAGGCCTTCCACACTTCCGCAAGGCTCTTGGATGCGGGAAGAGCTAGGGACCCCGTGTACGCACTCCTAGGTGGGGAGAAAGGTACGGCCTGAACTTTGGGTTTTTTTTCCAGGAAGCGGTTAAAGGGGGGCACGGTCAAACGATAAATCCCCAAATCATTTTCAAAGGTGCTCCAATATTCTCCCCACAGGACTCAGGATTTCAAAGCTAGTATTTTGAAGTCAGAAAGAACTGTCATGCGTGTGTGCCCCTCATGGGGTTTTCCTCTTGGATGGGAGAGAACCCAGGCCAACCACATGGCGGGACGGGAGGAGGCTGCAGGTGGGTCCTCCATCCACGGCTGACCACAGTGAGGCCACCACCAATTAGCCGCTGACCCCTACTTCCCTCCTCCACACCCTGCGGGTAACACCTACACCTCACAGGGCTGTGGTGGGGCCCGGAGCTCGTGAGGTGAGTGCAGAGATTAACCTAGCCTCTGACAGCCCGGGAACCGAGAGTCTGTCTGCTCGGGGTCCTGTTCTGGCACCGCCCAGGGGAGCCCCCTACCCTCTCCCGGGCTCCCGCTTGCCCACCTGCCCAGCGGAGGTGTGACTTCCTGGCCCGGGGGCTCGTGAGCAGCCGATGACAGGGCTGGACTATCTCTTGAGGAGATCGGGCAGACGTGTCTGCAGCCCTGAGGCTGCAGAGCCCCACTCAGGGCCCAGTGCCTCCCTGCACCCCAAACCCGCGCCCCAGAGCAGACAGCCCTGCCCGCGTGCGGGGTGAAGGCCAAAGAGCCGAGCGGTCAGGTCCGGATCTGTGCAACTTTACCACGAGTGAGATCTGGTTGGTGGACGCCACGGACTCCGGGTTAGAGGATGAGGAGGAGGAAGACGAGGAGGAGGAGGAGAAGGAGTTCCCTTCGGAGACCCGCTTTCTCTTGCGCTTGGGAATGCCGCTGTCTTTGGCTGGGGGAGAAGAGGTTGCTGCTGGGTCTCGGCTTCGAACCCCTCGGGAGAAGGCTTTTGTTTTCAGGTTTCAAGCCCCCTTCTCGGCATTCAAGGCTCCAGACCCCCCCAGACCAACCCCCTCTCCCCCGCCAGCAGCCGAGGCCAGCCCTCCAACCTCTGTCCTTAACCAGGCCCCACAGCCCCGTGGCTCTCCTCCCTGCCTTTGCTAACATGAGCCTCACCCCCCAGGTGTGCCCCCCGAGCGGGCTCAGTTCAGGCCCATGTCCTCCTTATGCCATCCCCAGACCATCCAGCCTGTGGGGGCCGGCCTCCCCAGAACTCCCAGGGCCCGGCATTCTGCAGTGAAGGGCTCGGCCTCGGGCCCTGGAGAAAGTCACTTCAAGTCACTCGGACTTGTGCCTTCATTTCCTTGTGAGTGAAATGTTGAGGGGGACCCAGGCTCCCGTGGGTAATATGCCTGGGCCCCCAGAAATACTCAGCAACTGAGAGCTGGTATCCATATTGTCGCTACTGTTAACTGTGGATGTGTGATGACCCCAACCTGAGAATGCTGACAGATGACAGTTCACAGCACGCAGTGTCCCCGGGGAAAGAGACTCAGGTTTATAGTCAGAAGTCCCAGATTCCAATTCCCATTACTGCCAACCCTTGCTGTGTGACCCCGGGCAAATCAATTAACCTCTCTGAGCCAAATGGGGAAAACCGTGTGATGTGAGACTCAAAGGAGGTTACTGTGTATGAAAGAGCCCAGCACCCAGCCCAGCACATTGCAGGACTCAGCCGGGGTTCTGTTGCTGCAGAATTAAATTGATAGGAATATATGAGACTTAGAAAAAAGATCTGCAACCGTGCACCACACAAGTAGGGTTTGGTGCTTGACTGAGCAGGCCAGGTCACTGAGTAGAAACCAGACTGGGTGACAATCACATGGCATGAGGGCTGGCTGAGCCCATGAGGTGGCTGTTTGTCCAGCTGATGAAGAAAAATCAGAGGCTGGGGGTCTGTGACTACGGCATAAACAGACATCCTGGGAAACAGAAGATTCTGGGGGCGGAAGGAGCTCGGCCAGAGAAAAGGGATTTTTGTAGGGGGCCCCACATGAACAGGAAGGCAGAGGTGCTGGCCCAAGGTCACAGCCAACCCGGGGTCACTGGAAGACCCTAAAGATGGCCATGGTGGGAGGGAGTGGTGGATGCAAGTCATGGCGTCCGCCCTCTGAGCATCTGTCCTAAACTCTCCTCCCGACGCCTCGGCAGGGCCTTCTGCATCTCTGCCTTCGACCTGGGAACAGCTCCCAAACCTGTCACCTCCCTACCCGCGAATCTGGTGCCTCACCTGGCCCCCGTGATCAGCACAGGACAGAGGGAGGTGGCTCCTGGCTGGGCTGTGCCACCCTAGGCCGTGCCGTTCCAGGGGGACCTGGACCCAGCTGGAGTTGGGGCCTCAGGTCTCAGGCCAGGATGGGGGCCCATCACGGTCCCCACTAAGCACTTGCTGGGCCTGCAGTTCGGATGGATGGCTTGAGGTGGCCACCAACCTCCCACGTGGCCCCGCCAAGCCCCTTTCCCTCTCTGGGCCTCAGTTTCCCAGCTGCACAATGTGGTTGGGACTAGATCTGTGTATTTTAATCAGCGGCGCGCCTCCCAATCACTCTGAGGAACCTTCCGCCGTTTCTACGGTGCATCTTCTCAGGCAGAACCATGGCACCAGATGGTCTCCCAGCTTCCTGTGCACTCAGGGTTCTAAGAGACAGTGTCTGGTGCCGTGTGTGCCCTGCAAATGCAGGCAGAATGGTGGGGTACCCCCCCCACCGGCCCCAGCCAGTCTCGGCCATGCGGCCTGCCTCCCCCTGCTGGTCACACAGCGTCCTTCTCCCCCCCCAGGTGGCTTCCATGATCCCACCGGCTGCCCCGTCCTCCTGGCTCCAGCCTGCCCCTCCTCATCTCCCGCTGATGTGACACACTCAGCCGTGCTGTGACCGGGCCCCCTCTGGCGGGCACCTGCAGGCTCCCTGTGGACCCACTGGGCAGGGAGCACTATACCCCCTCTGGGTGGTCAGCTACCGACCGCAAGCCACCTGGACCAGATCTACCCACAGACCCCGGTCCCTGAGAGGCAGAGAGGTGGCTTTTCCAGCCTCCGCCTTACCTGGCACCTTGGCGTCATTGCAGATTTCTGCAAAAGGTCTAAAAGAAAAAGAAAGGAGGTGGCCGTTAGAAAAATGGGGTTTCCCCTCTTCCTTCCCACCTGCCCCCTGAAAATGGGCGACACCTCTCACGAGAGGAGATGCTCCCACCGCCGCTGGAGTGTGAGGTAAGACCCGGATGGAAACGGTGGGCATCCCCCCCAGACCAGGCAGTGCCCTGCCAGGCCAATCGCCCCTTGGGGCCCACTTTCCTGGTCTAGAAGTCGAGGGTGTCGCCTGACCAAGTGGTCAGAAATGTGTGCCTAGGGATCCCCAGCTGGCTCAGTTGGTAGAACATGTGGCTCTTGATCTCGGGGCCGTGAGTTCGAGCCCCACATTCGGTGTAGAGATTACTTAAGTAAATAAACTTAAAAAAAGTGTGTGCCTAGATTTACAGAAGTGGATATTCATCACACTATTATTTTTTTATGTATGCGTTAATTTTTATTTTATTGTTTTACTTTTAGCATTCTTTGTATGAACCCCCCCTCCCAAATGAGATGCAGCCTAAATGTCCATCAGAAAAGGACATTATGGTCTATCTATTCAGATGACTGGTCAGTCACCAAAGGGAATCCTCAGGGACGTGGATAATGTTCGAGCGTGTACAAGACAGCCAGGCAAGAAACAGCAAGTTTTATTTACTGTCTACAGATAAATACTGTATGATCTCAGTTTCATATGCCACAAATAAAAATCTAATAGGCATTAAAAGAAACGTGGAAATGGGGAAGGAAAGTTCTAGAATGTCTTTGGCGGTTCTTTCTGGGAGGTACGCCTATGGGGGGGGGTGAGCATTTTTTTGCCGTGGTTTCTTGCACTGTCTAGTAGTTGCTTCAGGGGGTGGACGGTAGGTGGGAGGGAAAATGCTTTTTATTTGAAACCCGTCTGAATCATTTCATTTTTTTTTTTTGGATATATACAAATATTTTAATTCTAAAGCGGCCAATTCTTGGTTTAGGGTTACCGCATCGGGCTCCATGCCCAGCACAGTCTTCTTGAGACTCTTTCTCCCTCTTGCTCTGCCCCCCTACCCCGCTCTTTCTTTCTCTCAAATAAATAAATAAAATCTTAAAAAAATTTAAAACATCAAGCGTAAAATTGAAAAGAAAATGTGCATAGGGGAAAAAGTTAGTGCATCACGGTATTAGGCCTGAAGAGGACAGTTACATGGTTACCTTCTTTTTTTCTACCTTTTCGTGTTTCCCAAGTTTGCTGTGTGTATTTTCTTTTTATCGAGGTATAATTTCTTTTAAAGATTTTATTCATTTATTTATTTGAGAGGGAGAGAGGGAGACAGCACAAGCAGAGGGGAGGTGCAGAGGGAGAGGGAGAAGCAGACACCCCACTGAGCTGGGAGCCCGATGCGGGGCTCGATCCCAGGACCCTGGGATCTCAACCTGAGCCGAAGGCAGACACTTAACGACTGAGACACCCAGGCACCCCTTTATGGAGGTATAACTGACATATGACATAAAGGACATATAACTGATACATAATTGATATAATAATACCGTGTTAGTTTCAGGTGTTCAACATAACGATTCCATATTTGTATATATTGTGAAATGATGACCATGTTAAGTCTAGTTAACATCTGTCACCATACATACAATCTTTTCTTTTTTTTTAAGATTTTTATTTATTTATTTGAGAGAGAGAGAGAACACAAAGGGAGAGTGGAAGAAAGAAGCAGGCTTCCCGCTGAGCTAGGAGCCCAATGCGGGGCTCGATCCCAGGACCCTGGGATCATGACCTGAGCTGAAGGCAGAGACGCTTAACAGACTGAGCGACCCAGGCGCCCCAAGAAGATGGTCACCTAGGAAGTGGGTCCTCACCAGACCCTGAATCTGCCACCACCTTGATCTTGGACTTCCCAGTTTCCGGAACTGTGAGAAGTCCATGTGTGTTGTTTATAGGCCTCCTGGTCTGTAGTATTGTGTTACAGTGACCCGGATGGAGTGAGAGAGCTGGGTTTGTGTCCCAGCTGACCCACCATGAAGATGAGAGTGTTAAGCTATCTGTCTCTTGGAATCTGGGCAAGCAAGAGGCACCAGTCTGTCTGTCTGTCCATCTGTCTCCGTCTCTCTCGTCTCCTGGCTGGGACTGCTTTGGGAATCTCCCCACCGGATGCAAGCAGTCCCCTCTCCCATGGCCCCGGCCCATTGTGCCCACCCCGCGCTGGGTGCTGGGGGCACTCACTGGAGCTGGTTGATGATGACCATGCGCACGTGCTCTCGGGCCTTCAGGATCTTCTCCAGCCGGTGGATGTCGTACGTGTTGGGGTTCCGGAAAGGGATGTCGTCGGGCAGGCCCGTGACCTCGACGGCGTCTGGGCTGTCCCGGATCAGTTTGTACGGGACCAGCACAGGCCTGTTCAGGCCCAGGGCCTCGCCTACAAGACACGGTGGGTCAGCGCGAGGGGAAGAGGTCCCCTGTGAGAGGCCACGCCCCCCGGGGAAAGGGCTGGATCCTGGCATGGTCCAGCTTGGCGGCCACCGTACTACAGAGTTTAAAAATCAATACACACACCTTCTTTCTTTCTTTAAATCCACTTAGCAAAACTATAAACCTAATACCCAGTGCTGGCAATAAAACAGGCACTTTGGCGCGTGCCTGGTGCAATGTTAAGTGTGCGTACCCAGAACTGATAAACAAGAGATGTGATATCTGCTTAAGATCTACTATTATGGTAGAAAAACTACAAAGTCCTTACTTATTTATGGTTGATAGAATAGGGTGTCTTGGGTGTGTTTTCAAAAATTCCGAAGTGTGTACATGGACACTGAAGAAGTCAGGTTGGCAAAATGTTGGTGATCACAGGGGCTGGCTTTGGGTGACGTGGCAGGTCACCAATACCCATTTTCGTCCGTGTCTGAATTTTGATTTCACAATGACAAGTGAAAGAGACGACCCCACCAAACACCAGCAGAGTCGCTTCTCACTCTCAGAACGAAACCCCAACTCCTCGTTAGGCCTGCCCGCCCCTCCCTGTGCACTGGGGGCCTCCCCCGGCTGCTTACCCTAGGCCCTCTGGCCTCCTTGCTGGTCCCCAGTCACCCAGCTGTCCCTGCTGCCCGGCAAGCTTTTCCTGGAATGTGTGTCCCCTCCTGACATTTGAGTCTCTAGTCTTGGCTAACGCACGTCCCATCCTCCCAGGGGCATTCCTGCCCCACCCCCCAGGCAACCCCTTATCCTGCTACTGTTTTGTCTTCTCCGTTATCACTCTCTGAAATTCTATTTAAAAATATTTTTTATTACGTCCGTCTCCCTGCTACAATGCAAAATGGAAATAATACTAAATTCATCAAATAAAATGTAATATATACTATACAGAGCATCTAGCATAGCTTGGCACTCAATGATCTAGAAAGCTCGACTGTAACCATATTATTATTATTATTAAGATTTTATTTTATTTTTAAGAATTTATTTTTGGGCGCCTGGGTGGCTCAGTCGTTAAGTGGCTGCCTTCGGCTCAGGTCATGATCCCAGGGCCCTGGGATCGAGCCCC